TGAGCAGCGAACGAAATTGAGAAACATGGTCATGATCATTATGTTAATTAAAATATAGGAAGCTTATCAAGCATATTCCTAAATAGTAAATTTTTAAAATTATTTTTGTACGATTAAATCAAATTTGTTATGTATGTATTGTATATTGTAATGTATTATGTATGTTAGACGACCTCCGTGGCCGAGTGGTTTGTACGCCGGGTTTCATGGTGTCGCGTCGCCGACTCGAGAGACCGTCCTGGGTTCAAATCCCAGTGGGTGCAGATGTTTGTGTGATGAATACGAGCATTTGTACTCCAGTCATGGATGAATTAATATGTATTTTCTATATAAATATACTTATATATATATAGTATATGTATTCTATCCGTTACCCTAGTATTCCATAACGCAAGCCTTATAGTGCTTACTTTGGGGCTAGGCTAATTGGTGTGAGTGTTGGAAATATTTATTTATTTATGTTTTCTTTCCCTTTGTTTTATAACTAAAGCTTATGGTAATTTATGTTATTTACGGGATTGTTGCCATGTACTTTGCTTTTTAGCGAGTTTCGTCAGTTACTCCGTGATCATGGCGCTTGCAACAGTGCCATAATATAGACAACTCGCTGAAACAAGGTACATGGTAACAATCCCATAAAAAACATAAATTACTATAATGTTAGTGACCATGAAATTTTAAAATAATATATCACTTAAGCTTGTTTCTGAATGGACATGATGAAGCATACAAACAGAGAATTTAGCCGCTAAGTTAGTGACAACAACAGCCTCTTGTTTTAGGTTAGATATTATGTTCTGTTTAACATAAATAGCTACTTAATAAGCTAGTCTATTATAACCTAAATTTTATGAACATTGTTAAATATAAAGAAAATCTTTTAAATTTAATTCTCGTGTCACAATGTTAGTTACCATACTCCTCCGAAACGACCTGACCGATTTTTATGAAATTTTATATGCATATTCCATGGGTCTGAGAATCGGCTACTATCTATTTTTCATATCCTTAAGTGATAATGGTTGTCCACCTGTAACGTAGTATTCTGAAACCTACAATGCGCCTTCGCGCCAATTTTTTTTGGACAATATTTACTTATAATGTGGTATTAAAAAATACATACAACCCTAAATTTTCTCTTCTACCACCTGCCCCTATTTTTATAGCGATACGAACGTCGCTGGGTCAGCTAGTATTACTATAAAAAAATCACGCGAACCAGACAGCAGATGGGACTCGAACACGTACCCTTCGCTACCGGACGAATGCACTGACTGAGGTGAAAATACTTAAAAAATAAAAAATATTTTTTATGTTAACTCAAAATAAACCTATATTTTTTTTACAACCGCTCGTGGGCTCGTCGAAACGAAACGACCAAAGACCATCCTGTTTAACTCCCAAAGTTTTCCTTAACTGTACGCAGGTATTTCTTTTTGACACAATGGCCGTGACATACATACTTTAGTTAGTAGGTACCTGCATAAGTTATTGTGTGAATTACTACGCTCTTCACGTAATGTTCTTCCGTATATCAATTACTTACGCATGTATAAAAAGGCAACACTCATTTTATCGACATGCTCATTATAAGTCGGATATTGTACAACGTATGTTCGACATTGAGGTATGACCCAAATTTTGGTCGTATTTTCGTGTGAAAGTTTGATAATAGACTAGGGGCCAGAATACTGAACCCTTTTTTTTTGTGTCTGAAAAATGCCTTACGCATACTTCAACCACTGGGGGAGCGAGAAGAAGGTATGTGGAGCTCCTGCCTGTCCTCCTCAGCCAGCCCTGGAGCTCGCTGATGTGGACAGGGCCCTACCTACGCCCTGAACAGGGCCACTAAAACCAGACAATACTCCTGCACCGTCACCCGACACGCACTATGAGGACCGCGGTCCCCCTAGTGCGTGCCGAGAGGGCGTGTGTGGTCGCGGAACTCGTCTCCGAATGGCCGCGCACGAGAATATTGAACCTAAGTAACACCATTTTGTTATATAGTTTTTCCGACGGGTAGAGGAATAGAGTTCAAGCTGGAATAGAGAAAATGGGGTAAAATGTAGGTATTATTTCTACTATCAACCAAAAATAAATCAAACATCACAGCTCGACTCGTAAGTAGGCTTCAGACACACTCATCATCAGGGGACTGAAGTATATATATGTTACGGCTAATAGCCGAAGTGCGGCTACACCCAGTTTTAGCCGGCTACAACTAGGTGCAGCCCGCCACATGCGGTAAACTTAGGTGTATCGTACTTATCTTCGGATACAACTAGGTTTAGCCTTCATTATAGCGACTAGAACTAGGTACAGCCGCACACTGGTGGTTAAACTTAGGTGCATCCTATTTATTATCGGCTAGAACTAGATTTCAGTTCACTTAAGAATTTTGGTTTTATTTTGAGATTCGTATCTTGCGTTTCCTGATCGATTCGATTTTGTATCATCACCCCGGTAGACAAGATATCTTATCCTAGACAAGCCATAAACCATGCTAGTCCGAAACAAGATTATACTCGGTAATTGTGTTGAATTATATTATGAACTGAAATGAAATTTCGTCTTTTAATGTGGAGAGTCCCTCTGTAGTAAAAAATACAGTAAGTAGGCACTAAAGAGTTCGTCAAGTTAGCAGCGCTGTATAGACGCGGGGAAGGAGTTGGCGTCGCGACCGGCCCGCGCGCAGTCCTCCGCCCGCCGCGCGTCCTTGGACTTGTGTAACTCCAAATGCCATTCAAAATTATCTTGTTCAAATAAGTGATAGACATTCTTGCAACATACTATCACATATGAGAGTTTGTTAATTTTTGTATAATTAAAACTGAGTTGAAAAGTTATCCTATTTGTTTTAACATAAAAATATGAGAGAAGAGAACAAAGACTTAGTTGATTTTTTCATAGTTAAGAAGTAAAACTTTATTTTTTATGTTTATTTTGTTATGTCTAGTTCTGTTAGTTTATGTAGAGAAGATTTATAATATTTTCTGTTTTAATTACTTATGATAACGCCTTTTTTGTTAAAAGATATTTGCCTGTCAAATAATCACACTAATATTATAAAGGCGAAAGTTTGTGAGTATGTGAGTGTGTATGTTTGTTACTTCTTCACGTCTAAACGGCTAGATCGATTTTAATAAAATTTGGTATGGAGTTAGCTGACACCTTAGATTCACACATAGGCTACTTTTATCCCGAAAAAATTGTTAGGTTCCAGAGGGATTTTCAAGAAACTAAGTTAACGCAGACGAAGTCGCGGGCGACCTCTAGTAAATAATAAATGTCACTTAAACATCCCTGTCTTTTATTTATTCCATGTAATCGAATCAATCGGGAAACGCAAAATTAGAATCTCAAAACAACTGAACTGAAAACCTAGTTCTAGCCGATGATAAATAGGGTACACCTAAGTTTAACCACCGGTGTGTTGCTGCACCTAGTTTTAGCCGCTATAATAAAGGCTAAATCTAGTTGTAACCGAAGATAAGTAGGATACACCTAAGTTTAACCGAATGTGGCGGGCTGCTCCTAGTTGTAGCCGGCTAAAACTAGGTGTAGCCGTAGTTCGGCTATTAGCCGTAACATATATATATATATTTTGCGTGTGTATGCTATTGGTCGTAGATAACCTTTACAGCGTCACCGGGTTCGAGAAGTATATTGTTGAGCTTTTCTTACAAAAAAGTGTTATTTAGTAATACTTAATAAATAATACTGAATGCAAACCCAAAAAGACATTATTCATAGTGATGAATTGTGCTTCAAACAATCAGATTTTGTTGGAAGCCAAATTCATTATGTAGATTGTAACATCAACACAATATTAAATTTGTCGGCATTACTAACACTAATCTTTTCAAGTGAATCACACTGGAGTAGTTGATAACGCATATTAATGCATGAACTTTTTTCATTGCGAGTCACTATCCGAGGATGTCGATGGCGCAGTGGTAAAAAAAAGCATTCGATTTATTTCTTCCCTTCTTCGATCTTTCTTCTGTTCTTCGGAAGCTACGTTATTTAAGCCTTTTAAAAGTCAAAGCTACATTTGTTCTTCACTGCATTGGTAGTCATGCATGACCCGTCCTTCTTCAGGTCAAATCCTCAACAGTAGATTATATTGGAAGATTCATGATGAATCATCAAGTTCGTTGCCATATAAAATTCTTCTGCTAGTATTACTACGCTAAAGCTTACATCACACGCATCGGTGCACGCCTGGATATTTGTGGATGTCTAATCCGGTCTTACGTCACTTGCAGTGTTTATACAAGCTGTGATGTGTGTGTGACTGTTAGCCTCAAAGCAAATCATCAACATTGACGACAGCCAGTACTCAGGAAAACTTATTCTGTAATGTTTTTGTCATTATCATTAATCGTTCCTGGTGCTACTTTAAATTATTGGAGCATAACATTTTATCTTCTCCCATACTTCTCGAATAAACATTTATCTATAGCAGCTGCGACTAGAAATTGACTTAGCGTTAGTTTGCTATGTAAATGTTTCTAAGAAAATTATGATACAGAATAAATATGAAGATTTGGTGTTAGATCAACGGAGAAACGAGAAAGCAAGCTGATGTTTTTCAGATTTAGAAAATAATACATTTTAACTAGAAATCGTTTGTTTATTTATTTATCTTGGAACCAATATTTGGTACAAATACATTTCAGTAGTTTTACTCATAGTCCATGCATGCTTTGTAGATATGACAGAGAGTATGTAAATTCACTCCCTGAACTTCAATCTAAAACTACGCTTTAATTGGCATTAGTTGTGTCTAATTAATTTTAGAAATCACTTTCGTTCGTCCACAGCCATTTACCATGTTTATAGGTAAACATCTGAAAATTTTGATTTTCTTTCCATCCATTTCCAGTTTGAAGAAATCTACGAAATTGTGCTTGCTATCTTTCAACATTGTCTATGAAGTGTAAAAGTCATATAACAAGATTTCACCTTGACTAAGACCAGCGTCTCTTTGTCTTCAGGTTTCAACACAACAAAATCTACACGTACATCGGCGAGGTGCTGGTATCCGTGAATCCATACAAAACCCTGGACATCTACAACATGCAACACATGGCACAGTACCGAGGTCGGGAGATGTTCGAGGTGCCACCTCATGTGTACGCGGTGGCAGACGCCTGCCAAAGGGTGCTGAGGCAACAGGTTAGCAAATGAGGATCCGTAACGATTTTAGTTGAGAATGCACATTTATAGAGCTGAGGATTCCATTATATAAAGTGTTTAAATTATTGTTCTTCGACAAATATTGGCGGAGTTATGACGAAATTACTAAACAAATTTTTCGACTGGCTCGCGTGGGTCAGCGCGGTGGCTGTGACGTCACAGAGCTCTAGCGCTCGGCTCGCGGTAAGTTTTGTTTGTGTGTTGGTTTTGGTCTAACGCGCTTATCTCAAAAACTACTAATCCGATTTGCAAAATTATTTTTGTGTTGATTTGTCCATTTATCGAGCTTGAGTTAAGGCTATATAACATGATGCTACAGCCAATAGGAGCAAAGCATCAATGAAAAATGTTGCCAAAATCGGAAAAAATATCCCTTTTGTGAATTTTCACTGAATGCGTTGCGTAAAAAGTTAAGTTACGAAAGATTCATGTATGACGGAATTGTTTCCCTTCAAAAGTTTAAAAAAGTCCACGACAGCATAATGTCTTTTTTTAAGGGTTCCGTACCCAAAGGGTAATAATAGGGCCCTTTTACTAAGACTCCGCTGTCTGTCTGTCTGTCACCGGGCTGTATATCATGAACCGGGATAGCTAGACAGTTTTAATTTTCACAGATGATGTATTTCTGTTGCCGCTATAACAACAAATGCTAAAAATAGAATAAAATAAATTTTCAGGAGGTGCTTCTATACAACAAACGTATTTTTATGCCTTTTTTGCTCTATATTAATAAGGACAACAGGTAGACTGAGGCGGCAGGCTTCAAGCCGTTTAAATATAGGCATTTCGATACTAACTAATTTTGATTTAGTACTTACTAGAGGTCGCCCGCGACTTCGTCTGAGTTTCTTGAAAATCCCTCTGGAACCTAACATTTTTTCGGGATAAAAGTAGCCTATGTGTTAATCTAGGGTGTCAGCTAACTCCATACCAAGTTTTATTAAAATCGCTCCAGCCGTTTAGACGTGAAGAAGTAACAAACATACACACTCACATACTTACAAACTTTCGCCTTTATAATATTAGTGTGATTAGTGTGATTTCATGATCTTGTAGGTGCAAATTACCTCCCTGTGGCAAACGCTATAATTGGAGCGGAAAATCATTGTACAATAATGACTTCGTTAATTGTCGTGGCATCATTCATTTTACGCCTATTCTTCAGTTCTTATCAACTAGAAGATGTACTGAAAAGTGGTAAAACTACTGTACCTACTATTCTAAGCAATTGCAATATATACATACTACAATGTAAAAAAAAAATGTGTCCAAGTCATTAAACTACTGATAATTTATTTAAATCGCTTTTGATGGTGTACTTATTATGGTAATATGTAATAGAAAAAACACAAGCAAGGTGACAAATGTAATATTAAAAAATGAATTTTTGAAATGGTCAGGCCGAAATCAATTAAAAAAAAGTATTCGGGCGCCTGGACTGTACCATCATTATTAGCCGGGAGAACATTGGAATATTAATCGCAAAGGGGGCTTAATGCAAATCCATATTCATTTTGGGTTGTCTATATATTGAAATTTTAAGTCCAAAATTACTTAAGTCCAAAAGGGTTAAATCTAAATTTAGAAACTATTATATACTGTGATGCTACTAGGAATTAAATGAAAATTTACCTTATTATTAGAATGTTACCGACCCCGCTGCATCTGATCTGGGTAGCATATGTCTGGTGTTGTAAATATGTAGGGGATGGCCGTTTTTAGATCCCGTGGGTTCACCTCCACATCACGGGAAATGTTGAAATTGGAATAAGATATCCAAATGAAAAATCCAAATAAAAAAAAACGTTTTTCGCTGAAAACAAACATTCCTCAGATTAGCACATGGCTCACAACAAAGGAAAAAATGTAAATCTAAGGAAATCTCTAAGGTTCTTACCGTTTTTTCAATCAAATTAAGCTTGAGGTATGGCCATCGCCATTTTGTACGAATGATGCAAAATGTTTCATCTGAAAACAAAATTAATCCTCATGTTAATCATTGAAATATATGAATTAAAACACTTTTCGAATTTGGAAAAACACTTACCATTAAAAACAATCAATAATATAAGGGATTATCCATTAAAAAAAAGGAATATGAAATGACCATCCTTTGGTCTAAAAATTACGTCGTGAAGTGAAGTGACAGTTTTTTCTTAAGTTTGTTTTCTCTTGCCGGTAGGCAAAGAGAACAACGTCCATTCAGCCTACTGCTTGATAAAGTTAGCAACATAATTATTCAAAAGTGCACAGATTACAGAAAATGGGGGCGAGATAAAAACGACCAGAGAGACAACCAAAAAAAATCTCCTATCTCGCTCTTCGAGCGAAGGAGATCCATGTGACGTGTTTTAACACGTTACATTTCACCCTTCCCCGAATAAAGCATCGAGAATCGAGGCTGAAAAAACTACAGCTAAAGTTCAATTACTAAAAGCCAAAACGAAATCCGTTGAATTATGGATAAAAACGAAAACCCAAAGTGAAAAGAAAATAACTTCAAATAAAGTTATCCAAATACCAAAACATCATCAAACTATAGAGTCCTTGGACAAAAAGTCACAAGTCTCAAAACAAAAGCTGTTAAACTAAATTAGTCACAGACCCAAAATTATTAAAAACCTAAAGCAAAAATGCTCTAAAATAAAAGCATGCAAAGCTTACTACAAAAAATTCAACCACTATCATCATCATTATTGAGATCAGTCGAACATAAAAGTCGCAGACTCTAAAAAATCTCTAATTCAAACTACTCTATCTAAACCTTGGTGAGATCTGTTGGATATTAAAATCGCAGACTCCTAAAATTTCCTAAACTACTCTTAACATTAATTTCTGAAGGTCTGTTGGACAACAAGGTCACAGACAGAAAACTACAATCTACTCCTACTACCAACTCTTGGGAGATCTGTTAGACAACAATGTCGCAGACTCTGGAAAAATCCCACCCCAGTACTGCTATACTAAAAAGTCGCAAGTACTATTAGTTAAATCCCCAAAAAAGTTCGAGATGAGTGCAAAATTGACACTAACTCATTTAAGTCACAATCATGGTCGGCACGACACCACCGGCTTTCCGAACATGATGTGCAAAAGGCGTCGAGAACAAACAGTTCGACAAAAAAAAATGTAGTGACGAAAGTCAAAACAGCAAAAAAAATTTGGCGAAAACCAAAACGTGACATTCATGGCCGACTCAAGTTTGTACGGTCCCTGAAACAATGGTTATTATATAATGCATTTTATCATCTAAATGAATATTTTAATAATAATGTTTTGTAAAAATGACTATTGCATGCCCGATTAGGGTAACTGCTTATGCATTAACTTCTAGCAGTATCACTAAATGTAACAGTTTTGCAATAAAGAATTATTCTATTCTATTCTATTCTTACTGCTTGAATACCCAAGGTTTCTACGACATTTAAAAGAAATGGCTGCTTGCTGCGAAATGATTTATCAGTTTAACAACACCAATCTCGTTTAACTGAGACTTCGCTTGGTCAAACTGTTTATTGCGTTCATCGAATGTGGGCAGAGATCAGAGGTGCTAAATGCCACCATCAAACCTCGAAGAAACAGGGTTGTTTATTGCAGGCCCTTACATTGCGAATGGCCTGTTTTGTGGACTATTTTTCGAAGCTGAGCAACAAAAATGACGAGGAACTATGTTATTTCTTTTTTAGAGTTTCGTGTCACAAAAGGAACAAACGGAACCCTTATAGGATTACTTTGTTGTCCGTCTTTCCGCCTGTCTGTCTGTCTGACAAAGGTGTGTCCTTATCTTATATCTTTTATATTGTTTTCCAGGGCAGAGACACATGCGTCCTCATATCAGGGGAGTCAGGTTCGGGAAAAACGGAGGCGTCCAAATTCATCATGAAATATATTGCGGCGAACACTACACAACTACAAAGGGAATATATTGATAGGTGAGGAAACGAATACAAGCTTACGGAACTGTAGCATTCTTAGATTTCATATGGCACAGTAGTTCTTGAAAGAGAGCAGAAGCAAAGGAAAACAATTATTTCGAACGGTGCTGCTGCTTTACGTGCAGTCAGGCGTTTGTGGTACCTTAATGTCGGCACTTTACTTGGCTATTCGTGTTTGCTATTTGTAAACTTGACATCAGTCTGTCTTTTTCATTTCTTATAACTCATGATAAGGAAAGACTGTGATGAAGCTTACAAATAGCCAAGTATAATGCAGGCATAACATTGTATTTGAAATTAAAATTACCAAATTCTCTGCAGGGTGAAAAACGTGCTAATACAATCAAACTCGATCCTGGAGACGTTCGGCAACGCTAAAACTAACCGCAACGACAACTCGTCGCGGTTCGGCAAGTACATGGACATCCACTTCGACTACAAGGGCGACCCGGTGGGCGGACACATCAGCAACTACCTACTCGAGAAGAGCAGGGTCGTGGGTCTGCAGCCGGGCGAGAGGAACTTCCACGCCTTCTACCAGGTGAGATATTGGAGCTTGGACGACAACTTGTCGCTGTCTGCAAATACATGGACATCCACTTCGAGTAAAAGGGCGACCCGGTGGGCGGACACATACGCAACTACCTGCTCGAGTAGAGTAAGGTCGTGGGTCTGCAGCCGGGCGAGAGGAATTTCCACGCCTTCTACCAGGTGAGATATTGGAGCTTGAACGACAAATCGTCGCGGTTCGGCAAGTACATGGACATCCACTTCGACTACAAGGGCGACCCGGTGGGCGGACACATACGCAACTAGCTGCTCGAGAAGGTGAGAGGAACTTCCACGCCTTCTACTAGGTGAGATATTGGAGCTTGGACGATGACTCCTCGTGGTTCGGCAAGTACATGGACATCCACTTTGAGTATAAAGGGCGACCCGGTGGACGGACACATCAGCAACTACCTGCTCGAGATGAGAAGGGTCATAGGTCTGCAGCCGGGCGAGAGGAACTTCCACGCCTTCTACCAGGTGAGATATTGGAGCTTGGACAACAACTCTTCGTGATTCGGCAAGTACACGGACACTCCATTCGACTACAAGGGCGACCCGGTGGGCGGACACATCAGCAACTACCTGCTCGAGAAGAGCAGGGTCGTGGGTCTGCAGCCGGCGAGAGGAACTTCCACGCCTTCTACCAGGTGAGATATTGGAGCTTGAACTATAAATCGTCGCGGTTCGGCAAGTACATGGACATCCACTTCGACTACAAGGGCGATCCGGTGGGCGGACACATCAGCAACTACCTGCTCGAGAAGAGCAGGGTCGTAGGTCTGCAGCCGGGCGAGAGGAACTTCCACGCCTTCTACCAGGTGAGATATTGGAGCTTGAACGACGACTTGTCCTGTTCGGCAAGAACATGGACGTCCCGTTCGACTACAAGGGCGACCCGGTGGACGGACACATCAGCAACTACCAGGTGAGATATTGGAGCTTAGACGATGACTCCTCGCGGTTCGGCAAATACATGGACAACCCCTTCGACTACAAGGGCGACCCGGTGGGCGGACACATCAGCAACTACCTGCTCGAGAAGAGCAGGGTCGTGGGTCTGCAGCCGGCGAGAGGAACTTCCACGCCTTCTACCAGGTGAGATATTGGAGCCTGAAAGACAACTCGTCGCGGTTCGGCAAGTACATGGACATCAACTTAATCAAGGGCGACTCGGTGGGCGGACACATCAGCAACTACCTGCTCGAGGAGAGCAGGGCCGTGGGTCTACAGCCGGGCGAGAGGAACTTCCACGCTTTCTACCAGGTGAGATATTAGAGTTTGGACGATGACTCCTCGTGGTTCGGCAAGTACATGGACATCCATTTCGACTACAAGGGCGATCCGGTGGGCGGACACATCAGCAACTACCTGCTCGAGAAGAGAAGGGTCGTGGGTCTGCAGCCGGGCGAGAGGAACTTCCACGCCTTCTACCAGGTGAGATATTGGAGATTGAACGACAACTTGTCCTGTTCGGCAAGAACATGGACGTCCCGTTCGACTACAAGGGCGACCTGGTGGGCGGCTATATTAGCAACTACCTACTGGAGAAAAACAGGGTCGTGACTCTGCACGTTGTGACTAAAATCGAGGTTATGGTCATTTACCTAGTTGTGACTAAAATCGAGGTTATTGACGTTTTTTTTTTTAATTTTAGTTATTGATAAATAACATTTTAGTTGTGCCTAAAATCAGCTATGATAGTAGACCCACTTCCACTAAAGGTGCCACTCTTATTGCTTTACAATATTTAAAATATATGCAGTATTGTTATAAAACTTATAGTACCCAGTTCAGAAGGTAAACTCAATATCAGTCCAAGTGGACGGGCCGCTTTTCAGTAAAAATACATTTCTACCATTCCACATTCTAAGAATAACGACCCTATTTCATTATGCGACGGTTCCAAGAATAGATTAATGGCGTCCCATAATCATATAATTTTTAGTGTTTGGTAGGGTTTGAAATTTTAATGTTGCATTGGCTCAATTAGGTAAATTACAAAATAAAACCAAACCAACCAAGTAGCAAAGTTGAAACATGCTTTATAATTAGTTAGAACATCTACTCAAGAAGCATTCAATAAGTAACGTGATATAGTGCAATATTTCTTAAAATATATATATATATCAAGGAAGCTAGAATTTAGTTTTGATGTACAGTGAAGCTCGGAGGAGCTCGATGGCGCCAGTGGTTAGCACGTCCGGCTGCGGTCGTTGAAGCTGAGCAACTTTCGCAGTGGTCGGTCATTAGATGGGTGACCAAAAATTTACTATCTCGAGCTCCTCCGTGCTTCGGAAAGCACGTTAAGCCGTTGGTTCCGGCTGCATCTGCAGTCGTTAGCACTCACCAACCCGCACTGGGCCCGCGTGGTGGGTCATGGCCCAATCTCTCTAATCCATCATAATCCATCCATAGGGAAGGCCTGTGCCCCAGCAGTGGGGACATTAATAGGCTGATAGTTATGATACAGCACGATTTGAGAAGTATTTAATACAATAAAGGCACAAAAAGGAACATACTTATTAAAGTCATACCTTAAAATGTTGGACTTTAGAAAGAACACTTTTATTATCGCAATCAAGCGTAGGCAATTAACATCTTAAAATGCCATACTATTATTTTCTTCAATAATATTCCCTACAGCTACTAATAACTTGACTTATCCAGAATTTCTTAATATTATTGTGATGAATACGAGCATTTGTACTCCAGTCATGAATATTCAATATGTATTTCTATACAAATATACTTATAAATGTTATAGTCGCTACCGAAAGAAAGTGAGTAAGAAGGTACAAAGTACTGTAACATTAAAACTTGATAAGTTGTTCACTAGTTGGAATGATCGACCAACACCGACAGCGATTGTATTACGTTGTAAATCGCTTGCATATATTTGTATTTACATTTAAGATTTTGGGGATTCTAACTCATGAGCGAGGTCGCGGGTGCAACCGACGAAAGTAAGTTAGAATGCCCAATATCTTACTACTTACAGTATATGTATTCTATCCGTTACCCTTGTATCCCATAACACAAGCCTTACAGTAACATTGGGGCTAGGCTAATTGGTAAATATTTCATCATCATCAGCCTCTTAATGTCCCCACTGCTGGGGCACAGGCCTTCCCTATGGATGGAATAGGGAGATTGGGCCATAACCCACCACGCGGGCCCAGTGCGGATTGGCGGGTACTAACGACTGCAGATGCAACCGGGACCAACGGCTTAACGTGCCTTCCGAAGCACGGAGGAACTCGAGATAGAAATTTTTGGTCACCCATCCAATGACCGACCACTGCGAAAGTTGCTTAACTACAACGATCGCAGCCGAACGCGCTAACCACTTGCGCCATCGAGCTCCTCATGCGCCATCGAGCTCCTCGGTAAATATTTATTATTTATTCATTGTACTAAACCCATATACTTTTTGCAGTCCTTAATAATAAAATGATTTGTAACTATTAATCTTTTTGATTGATATGTATGTACATGAAACAGATTGTACTACCGTGGTTTGTGGTAACTAATACCATGATAGTCGGCGGTCACGGCATGCTGTAATATGGGGTTAATTTCCTGCCGCGATCATTACTTCAATATTATTATGACATGGCTCGTTTACCGACGGCGAAGGGTTAATGCTTACCCCTATCAACGTTAATGTTGAACCCATTAATATATTTAGCCTGCTAATACTTGTAATAGCGTTTATAAATCATGATAAATAAAAAGCTATTTGGACATCATTAAATATATAAATAAATAAATATTTCGAACACTCACACCAATTAGCCTAGCCCCAAAGTAAGCACTGTAAGGCTTGTGTTATGAGATACTAGGGTAACGGATAGAATACATATATTGTACATATATAAGTATATTATATATAAGTATGTATATAGAAATACATATTTAACATCCATGACTGGAGTACAAATGCTCGTATTCATCACACAAACATCTGCCCCCACCGGGATTTGAACCCGGGACCTCTCGAGTAGGCGACACCATGAAACCCGGCGTATAAACCACTCGGCCACGGAGGTCGTCAGATCATTAATATGTTGAAGCTCGGAACTACTGAGAAAGATTGTTTATGATTAATTTCTAAATAAATCTTCGCCATTATTTCACTGAGACTTGAAAGTGTGAGAAAAAAATACCATTTTTTTTATAACAACACACCCTAACCCCAAACTAAGCACTGTAGGCTTTTGTTATGGGATAACGGATAGAATACATTTGTAAGTATATAGAAATATGTACATATTAAACATCCATGACTGGAGTACAAATGCTCGTATTCATCACACAAACATCTGCCCCCACCGGGATACGAACCCGAGACCTCTCGTTTACCAACCACTCGGCCACGGAGATCGTCAAAATTTTGTACAGTTCATACTTATTCATCATCATCAATATTTGACGACCTTCGTGGCCGAGTGGTTTGTACGCCGGGTTTCATGGCTGTCGCCGACTCGAGAGGTCCCGGGTACGAATCCCGGTGGGGGCAGATGTTTGTGTGATGAATACGAGCATTTGTACTCCAGTAATGGATGTTTAATATGTATTTATATAAATATACTTATATATATTCTATCCGTTACCCTAGCATCCCATAACACAAGCCTTATAGTGCTTACTTTGGGGCTAGGCTAATTGGTGTGAGTGTCGGAAATATTTATTTATTTATTTATTAATATCATGTCAGCCGTATGACGCCCACTGCTGAGCATAGGCCTCCCCCCAAGGATCTCCACACCGATAGGTCCTGCGCCACTCGCATCCAGATCTTAACACGAATGCTCGAAGATCTTAGTAGTGCTTCCCAAAAAGTGGGTCTTAAGATGAACATGGAGAAGACGAAAATTATGTCGAATGCCCATGTAGTACCCGCTCCAGTTAAAATTGGGAACACTACACTCGAAGTTGTCGACTGTTACACGGTAATATTATCTATACAGTATTGTGACTCCGCCCTGTCCTTGAAAATAAATGCCTACGACCGAGCGCTGAGCTAGCACGCGGTAGGGCCGCCCGCCTACAGTATTTTATGTAGTTTTGTTTTTAACACGAGTGTAGGTAGATTACTCGTTTGTCTCTTTTTTCATCCTAACCACTTATTTATATATTATTCCAGATATTTTGCCCGATGGAAAAACCGAAATACCTAAATATTAGAAACAAATAACGTACTAGTAGATAGGTATATAAAAAATATTCTATAAAGGTAAGACACCTTTCCAATATTTCAGGTAATTTAAAAAATGATATCTCTGGGTGTGTTATTGAAGAGTTCAAGCAACCAAAAACAGCAATTGTGCTGTTGTACGATATTGATCGTCGTTTGTTCTTTTCCATACTAAATTATGTAGGTATCTACTTAATTAAATCAAATATTTACAATACAAAACGCATGTTTAAGCACGGCTAACTGCATAAAAAACAATTCAGATCGTTCGGTCGTCGTTGCGGCGCGGCGGCGCATTCGCGACTGGGTGCCCGCCGAGAGCACATCGAACTCGAGCGGCGTAGGTATGACTCGCTTTCCGACCGTTTGTATGAAGATAGAATACTGTATGATATTATTACCGTGACTGTTACGTCTGTTACGTCATACTTATTACGGCCTAAATTTTAATTGCAAATTATTGTAATTTCTAATCAATGCGCCGGTTGTTTGTATACAAAATATCCTAGTCGATAAACAAACTATTTGCCTTGCCTAATTGTGTAATCCAAAGGAAGTGAATATTGTTATGTCTTCAATAATAACAATGACGCGTCTTGCCTCTAGTGTTTGTAAATAACGTTGCGTGTACATTATCTCATTCGTGCATCGACGTATAAGGCTTTTTCATCATCATCTTTAGCCTATTAGTGTCCCCACTGCTGAGGCACAGGCCTTCCCTATGGATTGAATAGGGAGATTGGGCCATGACCCACCACGCGGGCCCAGTGCGGATTGGCGGGTGCTATCGACCGCAGATGCAGCCGGGATAAACGGTGTGATTTTTAATTGTTAAATAATGAACAGAGTCGATGAATCACTAATGGTACCTTTGAAAGATATTACCTCTTCTGTGGTCTCATTTAGATTATACTAAAGACATCATAATGCGATCTTCCCAGGGTAAAACCTGTTGCATTATGAACCAAGAGCAGATTATAAAACTAGCTTCTAACAAACAACGATTAGTATTAGAATTATTATAATACCCTATACTGCTAGCTTACGCCCGTTACTCCGTTCGCGTTATAGTGAGTATTTTGAGAATTCCACAGGAATATATTAACATTTCGTCCCTATGGATGGATTAGGAAGATTGGGCCATGACCCACCACGCGGGCCCAGTGCGGATTGGCGGGTGCTATCGACTGCAGCTGCAGCCGGGATCAACGGCTTAACGTGCCTTCCGAAGGACGCAGGAACTCGAGATAGAAGATTTTTGGTCACCCATCCAATGACCGATTACTGCGAAAGTTGCTTCACTTCAACGATTGTAGCCGAACGCGCCAACCACCCGCGCCATCGAGCTCCTCAAACAAACAATTTAGTCAGTAGTTAGTATATGCTAACCGCTCAAACCATTTTAATAAATTTTAATATGCAGTTAGTTTAGTCCTTGAGAGAGGTTTTGACCCCGCAAATAAAAGATGTATACAATGAATAAAACTAATTTCAACGAGTTATATAACGCGTTTAATATAACTATCACTATTATTGACGTTTCGGGCTGTTCGCCGTGAATTTTGAGTTACCCGAGAAACTTAAAAATCCTGTAAATAAACATAGTGTAAACATACTACACCCCCATACAAAAATATTGATTTATATCGTATACAAAATATCGTAAAATGACACAAATTTGTAAATACTAATTTATGTAATTATTATCCGTTTTAAGTACGCAGATCCTTAAAATTGTTCCATTTGAATCAATTTATAACAATTAAAATTGTAAGGGGTTTCATAATGGCAGAAACAGTGGAGATTTTTTTCGAAAAAAAAAAAAAATTTTTTCACAATTTTCTCTTTGGAGATATAATCTAAATAATTGTCTAAATTAGCTGGTAAAGTTTCTCAGGTAACTCAAAATTCACTGTGTATAACATAACTATAATTGCTATTTCTTCTTTCAAATTGAAAAAGTATTCATTTGACATTGTGGGTACAATGGTACAATGCAAAGAGATGGCGCTGCCTTTCTAGCCTTAAGCTAGGAAAATTTCGACGCGGCCAATAGGGCCGTGGTAGCATAATTGGTCAATGCATTCGCCCGCATTGCGAAGGGTGCGGGTTCGAGTCCCGTCCGCTGCCTGGTCCGCGTGGCTTTTTTTCTAGTAAAACTTCGTTAAAAGTGGTTAATATAAATAGAGTATTTAGAGTTTGTTTTTAATTTTCTTTTGCTGTAATAATTAAACGAATTATTTCAATATTGCCTACAGTTGCTGAGCACAAACAACGCGTACACGAAAAAGTACGGTCTCGCATCGAGCGCGGTGTACAAGATATTAGGCAGCGAGCGAGCCACAGCGCAAGACTCCAAGCTGTATTCCCTCACAAACAGTGCTTTCACTGCCTTGGGATTCCAACAAAGCGTGCTCGACGATATATGGAGTATAGTGGCCGGAGTCATACTGTTGGTGAGTCAGACTATAAAGACTATAGGCCAGTGAGTGCTGACTACAAGACTTCAAGCTTTTTTCACTCACCAACAGCGTTTTCACTCCCTTGAGGTTTTCGCCCAGCTTGCGCGACGACAAATGGAGTATAGTGGCCGGAGTCATACTGTTGGTGAGTTAGACTACAAAGACTACAGGCCAGTGAGTGCTGACTACAAGACTTCAAGCCTTTTTCACTCACCAACAGCGTTTTCACTCCGTTGAGGTTTCCGCCCAGCTTGCGCGACGACAAATGGAGTATAGTGGCCGGAATCATACTGCTGGTGAGTCAGATTACAAAGACTACAGGCCAGTGAGTGCAGACTACAAGTGTCTGTTAGTTTCTCAAATAATAATGGACTCGGATATTTTTATTTTGGTCAACCAAACCAAAAATTGCAAAGACAAATCAGGTCAAAGTCTGGGAGTGGGGGTTCGTGACGTCACTTTTAAGTAAAAATTCCACCAAAAGGTGACGTCATGCGACATTTCAAATCTATATATCTCTGTAATGTTTTGATTATGTGAAAAAGAAAAAAAAACGTGGCCAATACTCTTTGATAATCTTCCCGATAAACGAAGGAAAAAAAGGCGTCATCCCTATTGTTTATGTAATACTAGCGGCCGCCCGCGAGTTCGCCCGCATTAACTTTTTTTTCTAAAATAAAAGTAACCTATGTTACTCCTTATTACATCAGCTACCTGCCAATAAGTCCCGTCAAAATCGGTCCAGCCATTTCAGAGATTAGCCGGAACAAACAGACGTATGGTGTATGTACCATATATATATAGAAAAAAGCGATTATTTCAATATTACAGTCACTCCAATTTTATTTAAATGTATAGATATCCGTGTCCGTAGTAGCAACTCTGATACATTGTTTTGCTCTGAATATTATTGCTCGTCCTAAATCGAGAATACGCACATCAATATACTTTAAAACGTCGTATGTCCTACTTACAGTGTACTGTTTAATACAAATGTTAGTTTAAAATAAATCATACCGTTTATACTTAATCTAGTTAGTGTGTTTACTTTTAATAACCGTGAATGGATGATGTTTACATTGTTTTTTTTAATCAGTATCGTCTGTGTCACTAACGTGCGAATGCGATTCATTCGGGCTAACGACCAAGTGTAATTGAGCCTTAATAATGAGTGTTATCTATCATGTATTGCAGTTAATTGCCCCTTCTTTTACTATGAGTCTTACACGTAATCTATGACCCATGGCCCCTTCTTTTACTATTTAACCCGTTTAATACGATCACGCTTAATACGATTTCTCGCATAATACGTCATTTTGCATCAGTCCCTGCAACTTGAGACATGCTTTCATACATTTCTTAACGCTTAATACGATTCGTCATCCCGTTTAATACGCCTAAATCGGCAACACGTACCACACATATTATTACCTCTTGCGGCAGTGGCCAGAGATTGACGTGGCGACTGTCAAGCGGCGCACGCAAAGCGGCTCCCAGGGTTTTCCTGGATATTCTTCCATTGATGACAATGTGGCACCATATAAAATTCAATGAGAATGTGAATAACACACAAGAAGAGGCCCTAACTGATAATGATCAAGAAGAAGATTAGTCAAGTCCGATTTTTTCAGCAGTTAATGATTTAAGACGCTATAATTATGTAACTTCTCTTTGAATCAAAGCTAAGACGCACTGCAAAAGTTAAATTATGTTGTAAATCTTGTAATAACTAATGCCTCAAAATCTTTTTGACAAACTATAATAAGAAATGAATTTAAAAAATGTTATAATAAATAATAATACACTACATTTTTTTATAACATAGGTACATAATTCTTAAGAATTGTACATTTATTACCTCAATACTTACATTCGAAATTTCCCTATCCCGTAATCCCCCATAATACGCTTTCCCGCTTAAGACGCGTTTTCGGTTGAGTCCCTATGAAATCGTCTAAAACGGGTTTTACTGTATTTATAGGGTGAGCTAGATATCACGGAGACACCCGAGGGTGAGGTGGAAGTGCGAGGTTCCGTCTCCCCCTGCGCGTCTGCGCTGGGCGTGACCGTGGAACAGTTGCGCACTGCTATGGGCGGGCGCGTGCTGGCGGCGGGCGGGGAACTGGTCAGCAAGCGGCACTCCTTGTCCGATGCCAACTATACGAGGCTGGCGCTGGCTAAGGCCGCCTATGATAGGCTGTTCACGTGGATAGTGGCTCAGGTGTGTGGCTAACTGATTGTTTAGGTCTTTATAGAAAACTAGCTTCGGCCCGCGACGTCGGCCGCGTTAATTTTAATTTTAGAAGAATCATACAGGAATCTTGCATTACTCTATTACAAAAAATATCACCACTTAACATCAGGTGGGGTAGAGTCATTTGCCTACCAGGTTATCTTAATATATATAAATCTCGTGTCACAATGTTTGTCCTCAATGGACTCCTAAACCACGGAACCGATTATAATAAAAATCGCACACCATGTGCAGTTCGATCCAACTTGAGAGATAGGATAGTTTAAATCTCAAATTATAGTCGCAATTTTAATTTATTGCAAATTATTACTTTTGGGCGGTACGAAGTTCGCCGAGTCAGCTAGTATATATATAAAAAAAGAAAGTATATTGGTACCAAATTTCTTCCAAATCGGTTGTGATTGTGTAGTACAAGGTAGAAGCCCAACAAATCAACAGTCAAGCGCCGTGATCACAGGATATGTCAAAGTCAACGAGACCTAGTTCCAGTGCATTGTGCCAGAGCACCTAACATAACTGACGATATATATATTTATGTGTGTGTGTCTGTGAGTGGAATGCGGACGTAACTCTTCCCGACGAGCGCGAAAGTTGGAGAGTAACTCTGCGAAGGCTGAAATGTTACGAGCGTCACACGCGACAATATATATACATATATGTATATGAGCTTGCGCTGCTCCACTCCCCTATGCACCGCCTAATATTTTTTTACACATTATACTATTTTTCGAAGTTGAATATTTTTATACTATATTGAAAGGATAAAAACTAATAAATAAAAATAAAAATCATATATGTTCCCTATTATGCTGTATTTGCTAATTGTGGTACAACTAAATTATTATCAGAACTCGACGAACCATATGAAATTGGTTTGAACAAAGTCGCGTACATGTTTCCAGATCCCTTTACGAGTTGATGTTCAAAGTAGGCCTGAACTTTGAGATAAGTATACATCTTATCTCAAGCAAATCTCACACTTATAGCTTTAGTTTTAAGTGTGACTTTATAGTTATGTTTTAATTTTTTAAGCATGTAACGACTTTATGTTTACATCTAAAGAAAAGTTTACTAGAAAAAAATCCACGCGGACCAGGCAGCAGACGGGACTCGAACCCGCACCCTTCGCTATCCGAGCGAATGCACTGACCATTATGCTACCGCGGTCCTGACGGCCGTGTCGATTTTCTCTAGCCTAAGGCTGCAAGACAGCGCCATCTCTTCGCATTGTAGGTAATTCACAATGTCAAATGAAATAGTTTTACAAGTATGCTGTCTATGTCTGCTGCCTGGTCCGCGTGTTTTTTTTTTGTAGTAAACTTTTCTTCTGACTTTATAATTCGTGTGCACAGATCAACAAAGCCATAGAAGTGCCCCGTGACACATACAAGAACACATTGATCGGTGTTCTAGACATATACGGCTTCGAAATATTCGACACGAACAGCTTCGAGCAGTTCTGCATCAACTACTGTAACGAGAAGCTGCAGCAGCTGTTTATCGGTGAGTTGTCACCCTTGTCACCGTTGCCATTTAAACCTTATTACAAGGTAGTTGGAGTTCATGTTCAAAAAGTTAATCTGCTTTGCTACTTTCGTCAATCGCTTTGCATGTATAACACAAAGAAGGTAATGGAACTTTTTTGTTCGAATTTATAAAATTAAGAGTCTAAATTTCGCGGAAACGAAAACGATTTTTTTTCTGGTATTGTTGGCTAAAGTAACGACGCTAGGTCTGTGTTGCCAAAGTAATGCCCCTTTTCTCTTGTGATGTTGTCTTTCCTTGTAGTTCGTTTGCGTTAACTGGGTATAGTAAATGTTGTCTAATTAATTTCCGATGGCTTCACTTGGCTAATCGTATTTGCTATTTGTATACTTGACAACAGTTTGTCTTCATCATGCTATAAATAGATTGACAAGGATAGACTGATGTCAAGTTTACAAATAGCAAACACGAATAGCCAAGTGAAGTTTACACGCATACCAATTATTCAATAAAACATTTTGGGAATGAGTACCTATAATAAAGCGCGATTTTCTTGCATTACTTTGAATTTTTCTTGTCATTTCTGACCCATTCCTGGCTCCGTGGTCGAATGACGGTTTTCTGATTGACTTTTTTCATTTCCTCTTTTTTGTTCTGGTAGAGTTGGTGTTAAAGCAGGAGCAGGAAGAATACGCTCGCGAAGGCATCCAATGGACACCCGTGCAGTACTTCAATAACCGCGTCATCTGCGAGCTCGTCGACGCGCCGCACGCCGGCATCATCGCCATCATGGACGAGGCCGCGCTCAACCCCACCAAGGTGACGTATACAACCGCTGCCACATCCATAAGCTCATGGCAATGATAGCGTTAAATTAAAGGACATGGCTAAGAAACTGCCCTTAACGTGTATAAATATTAGGGATGTCGAAAGTTGAAAAAAATATCGATATATCGATACATCGATCTTTTAAAAAATATCAATATCGGCTTCGATATATCGCCAAAAAAACATCGATATATCGATATATCGGACCAATTTTCCCAAAAATATCGTACTCTAAAATAGCTCACAAAATATGACACGCGGAATAATAATGGAACGAAAATTATCGCCCTAAAAATATACCCTATTTTCGAATGATGACATAGGCAATACTAAATACAGCACAGATCATAGATATGTTGAATATCATTAATTTGAGATCCAGTTACGATTTTTCCAGATACGAATTTAGTTAAATCGTGATATGCCGCTAATAATTAAAAAAATATCGTTTTTGATACGAATTTCGATATTGGTTATTTTGTATTGATTTATCGATATATCGAATCAAAATATATCGGCAAAAAATATCGATATATCGAACAAAAAATATCGATATATCGATACATCGATATATTTTCAACAAGCCTAATAAATATTTCGCACTAACCCGTAACTTTTCAATATTTTTTTATTAATTATTACGTGTTTATTATTCTCATACCACTTTCGTGAAATAATCAAATATTTAAAAGAATAAAAATTTACTTCATGTCTGTTTAAAAAGCAAAATGTTCCGTTTTACAAAATAAATGAACAATAAATGTCTACATAAAATATTTTTGTAAGTACTGAAATATCGAAATAAACAATATTATTTCTAAACTCCTTCAAACTATGACATATTTGGCCCTAATATTTATTATAATAAATCACTGAAGGCCTAAAATAATAGATTTTATTATTCTGATCAGGCTTGAGCCAAGGCAGTATGATAAATTAATCATTAAATTTTTGCAAATGGATAAAATAAAACTACACTGATTTCCCGTCAGGCCAACGATAATAAATTATTTGTATTTATTTTTGCTTTAAAAAAACTTTTGTGTGAAGAGCTAATCAAAGAAATGGGAAGAAAGATTCTAAGAAAATGCGAAATTGATGACTCTGTAAATAATTGGCAACATCTTTTATCAACTGTAGTAAGATACATAGTAGGAGTTCTCATAATTTTAAGATTGTGACTTTATCAAAAGTCTTTTTTCATAGAAATTATGAATATTCAGCCGTTTACTGATAAACATTACTAAGTACAGTATTTATACATTGTCAGGGCAGTCGCCCATACAGTCACTGAATATTGACTACCGAATTAACCAAAACGTGGCTGTTTCCAGATTTCAGACAAACAGTTATTGGAAGCCATGGACAAACGTCTCAACGGCCACAAACACTACACTTCAAGACAACTCTCGCCAACAGACAAAAAACTCAAGCACGGCGTGGACTTCCGCATCACGTGAGTTTTACATAATTATACTTTTCGTATAAAAAGTTGATAATAAACTTGGATAATTTTGTATATTAATCTGCGAAAATATTTTTGGGTAATCTTTAAATAATCGAAATAATCTTTATGTCTTATTTCCGACTGATTAATATGAAATTAGGACAAGAATCGGAGTTTTGGTACACATTCAGTATTTTTAATTCACAAACTTTTATTCAATATTCAAATCAAGTTACGGCCCATATTTTTATAGTACTCGTAGTATATCCTTTTCATGCTCCACACAGAATAAAAAGCCGTTAAATTTATATTTCAGTTTAGTTATAGTGTACGAGCTGTACATATCTACTTAATCAACATTATAATAATTTCAAATTGACCCAGATTACTTTTACACATACTCATCAATTGTATTTTCCTTTGCACAATTAGTTACTAAAATAAATTAGTGTTTTTACAACATTCAAACGGTGTGGCAGTTTAACTGCTGTACTAGCTATCTTCGCGTTTGGACTTTTTCACCACTTAACATCAGGTGGGGTGTGTGGGGGGGGGGGGGGGTAGTGCCATTTGCCTACTGAAAAAAAGATAATTATTCATAATTATACTCATTAATAATGAATTGAAAGCTATTATAATAAAAAACGGTTTCTGTAAAGTAGGTTTACGGACGATAATTTTACGTGATAACGTGACGTTCGCTGTTTTATGGGGCTTTTTGTTTAGGTTAGGTTAGGTTTAGGTTTGAGCACAAGCATGCCTCTGTAGCTCTACGGGCGGCCGAGTTAGGCTCCGCGATCCGAGGGGGTGCAGGGGTTAAGGAGTGGACAGTTGGTGTGGGAGGTCAGGGGGGTCAGAAACGTCAGACGGGATGCCTCTAGCGTTCTTTCGACCCCTCACCCCCTCACTTCAGACACACCGCGGAACGTTGAACTGACTCTTTCGTGCGTGCAGCCGGTGTTCATCGATTTATAAGACGTTATTACGTCAAATGAATATACTGTCGAATGATAATAAGAATGTCATGGAATTCACGGAGCGAACAATTGTGAACTAATAAACATCGTTGATTATATTTTTATTTAAAGCATTTAACTGTGACATATTAAAATCTAAAGAAAACTTTACTACAAATAATCTACTACTTACTGTCTTACAGCCTAAGAAATACAACAAAAAAATCGGCATGGTCATTAAGGTTGTGGTAGCATAATTAGTCTATGCATGCGCCCGCATAGCGGAGGGTAGCGTCTTCGTCCTGTCTGCTGTTTGGACCGCGTGGATTTTTTTCTAGTCAAATTTTCTTAAACATCGCGTTTAGTAACATTTCACATACTAGAAAAAAATCCACGCGGACCAGGCAGCAGGCGGGACTCGAACCCGCACCCTTCGCAATCCGGGCGAATGCACTGACCAATTATGCTACCGCGGCCCTGACGGCCGCATCGAAATTCTTCTAGCCATTCTTAAGCTGCAAGGCAGCGCCATCTCTTCACATTGTAGGTAACCCAACCCAGGTCAAATGAATACTTTTACAAGTATTAAACATTTTAAAGAAGAAATAGCAATTATAGACGGGTTCGAGTCCGCGTGGAATTCTAGTTATATTTTCCTTAGAATTAAACACCAAGTAGTTACATGCTTAAAAAATTAAAATTACAATTTCACATTGTATCCTTAACACTTGTACTGCGTTATCCAGGCACTACGCTGGCGACGTGACATACGCGATCACAGGCTTCATGGACAAGAACAAGGACTCCCTGTGGCAAGATCTCAAGAGACTACTACACTCGTCCAGCAACCGGTCGCTGGCAGACATGTGGCCGGAAGGCGGCGATAACATACAGAAGGTGAGGACTTTCAACTAAAACAGCCTCATTCGAAAACGCGGAGTAAGTCAGTCGTGGTTTAAACCTAACGCTGTCTCTGCTAGCATCAGTTTTAAACCAGGGGGCAATTCGCCTAACGGAAATACTTTGAAAAACGCTAACGCTTACGATTTCATTTTGTTATTTCTAGCCGCCTGAGGTTTTTATCCAGAGGACAAAATCACTTTTAGAAATTAAGTACTAACATAATTTAAGTATCTACTAACATATTTTGGATCATGTTGTCCTTATTTGAACATTAAATAAATAAATAAAAAAAGTAAAATGCCTCGCGCTCTTTTTTTTTCTTTTCTTCTAACTGAAATGCTTGGGAAAACGCTAACGCTTTCGATTTTATTTTGTTATTTCTGAGCGCCGAAGATTTTGAAAGACCTCACGCTCATTTTTTTTAATATTGTTATTACCAATGCAAAAGAAAATAAAAGGCCACGAGGCATTTGAATACCTCAGGCGGCTAGAAATAACAAAATAAAATCGAAAGCGTTAGCGTTTTCAAAGCATTTCCTTTAGGCGAATGGCCACCTGGTTTAACTTTAGACAACGTTTTGCAATAAGGCGGTAAAGGTTTGAAACGTTAATGTTTTGTTATTTGAAAATGATTGCATATTTTATTCTATAAAAATTCCATATCCTTAATAGGGTTTTAACATAGTTATATTTTGATTTTTTAAGCATCTAGCTGCTAGATGTTTAAATCTAAAGATTTTTTTACTAGAACATGGACCAGGCAGCAGACGGGACATAACTATAATTGCCATGTCTTTCGAATATGTAATCCTTGTAAAGGTAAATACAACAAGTTTCAAGAGGTTTGATGCGTCGACGGAATAATGATTTTTTATTTACTACGTCGAGCTACCTTCGAAAGTCTTTTATTGAGAGTTCGGATATTTCATTGGATATTTCGATATGAAACATAGGCGCGAAAATAAGTCTGCGGTGTGCCAGTCAATAAATAAATAAAATCAGTGCCTAACCTAACCCGTTGAAACTTGTTTTTATGAGTGATGTGCGTGAAAACCTAAGAAACAAATATGTACTTGTGAAGGTATTCATTTGGCATTGTGGGTTACCTACTACGCGAAGAGATTGTGCTGCCTTGCAGCTTAAGTAATACTGAAGGTTGTATCATTTGATACTAAGATTCCCGTTTAGCCTCCCTCATTAAACGTTGTTTTCCGCAATCTTACTTAAAAATCTTGATATTGTTAGAACTATCACACATTAACCCATATTAATGGGTGATAAGTACACCCATATTGAAGAGCTCGATGGCGCGGGTGGTTAGCGCGTTCGGCTGCGATCATTGAAGTTACGTAACTTTCGCAGTCGTCGGTCATTGGATGGGTGACCAAAAATCTTCTGTCTCGAGTTCCTCCGTGCTTCGGAAGGCACGCTAAGCCGTTGGTCCCGGCTGCATCTGCAGTCGTTAGCACCCGCCAATCTGCACTGGGTCCGCGTGGTGGCTCAAGACCCAATCTCCCTATTCCATCGATAGGGAAGGCCTGTGCCCCAGCAGTCACTGGGGACATTAATAGGCTGATGATGAGTTTGAGTATATTATTTTTAATTCAGAAGTCAGAAATCAATATATCTTTATTCAAATTGGATGTATAGTACAACTACATATTTTCAATCCTCCAAAATTTTTTCCCTACCACTCGTTATTCGACATATTTTTTAGCTGCAGAGGAAAACGCGCGAAACAAAATCCACAACATTAAAAGTATAATGTGACAACATTTACAAATCATTCTGTTGTTACAACGTCAATACAATCATGATTTATTTAATATGGAAAACCTGTTGGAATGATTGGAACAGTTCAAACGTAAGCATTATTGTCTTTAATATAATCAGACACTTTGTAATAATCTTTTTTAATAAGTGTTTTTTTGATGTGTACCATCTTTCCTCTCACTTTACCGCAATTTGTGGGAGTGATTTCGTGAAATGGGACGGAAGTGTGTAGCAGGAAGTCGCGAAAGCGCGCGCTATTTGATTTGATTTTAGAACATAATGTTCAAATGGCCTATTCCTTTTGTAGTAGGTTTTATTTCTTTTTTTACTAATATAAGGTGTGCTTTCAAATGTTACATATCAACGCGGCTACTGTAAGGCTTGCTCGTTTTTTTACACTATCTTTGAATTTATTAATGGTAATTCGTTGATAAATATGCTTGTATTGCAGACGTCAAAGCGGCCGCCGTCGGCAGCGACATTGTTCCGCAGCTCTATGGCGGCGCTGGTGACGGGGCTGCAGAGCAAGGAGCCCTTCTACGTGCGTTGCATCAAGCCCAACCCCCATCAAGCGCCCAACACCTGGGATCCCACGCTGGTGAGACAATCACATCTTCTCTTACGCTCGTATTATAGAATGACAACTAAGTGTTGATCTTTACTTGAGTACAGTTAGAAAATAATCCCATGATGATGATGATGGCATCCCTTTTTAACTTGTTCTGTAATCCAGTACAGTTAGAAACGGATCTCGCTATATATAGCACATAGCGACATCCCTTTCTAATGGGGTATTTGACAAGTTTAAGAAAACGATCTTACGTTATTGACGAATGTTTATGGAGTCCGTAAAAAGTGGATATTCATCATTCTGTTGTGTATTTCAGTAAAAATATCCAAATCAAAAACTCCATTTTCAAGTTGCCGCGAAAACGTTTTTCTGGACAATATGGCGTCTTACTAGTGTGTGACGTCACACGACTGTTATGACATCGTCAAACGATACAATGTAATGTCACTTTAACCGGAAGTTTACTTGCGTGTGACGTCATTTTAGGCTCCGCCAATCCCAAGCGTTTTCGGTCACGTGACAATAGATAAGAAAATTATTATCTTTGTCGTGGGTTTTTAGTAAAATTATGATTTTTTTTTGTAAAAATAGTAAAACCTCTCCCAATATTCATTCCAAACACAGATGCTAACAATTGGCACTTTATTTTTAATATTGTCAAATACCCTATTTATCTGTTTCTTTGTTTTGTAATCTTGTACAGTTGGAAAGGGCTGTATGTCGCTTAGTAAACATTCTGTAATACGAGCTTAAGTGTTGAGATTTTTTGCGACTAAAATGTCATCAATTCGATTTTGTTTATGGTACAACATTTATGCTGAACACGAGATTTGCTTAATAAATTAAGAACTTTACGTATTGTTTACTGAGAAATTTAATGTTAGCACATCGCAATATTTAAGAGTCAAATATATATGACCCTTCTGTGTTTTTGTTGTTTTTTTTACTCTTGGCTATTAATTTTAATATTCTATTATTTTACGCTAATTATTGTTTTCATACTAAACGTTACCTTGACAATAAAAAATAATCTACATGGCAAATACGTGAAAACCGCTGGGCGATGTCTCGTTGACAACGAAGGACGCAAAGAGTGGTCAACTTATATTATAACGGAATGGAGCAATGCATTTGGACTTAAAACAATCCAACAAAAACGCAGTGCATAATTATTGGTAGTTCTTATTTTATATCTCGGATTGACTTCAAGCAGCTGCCATCAGTTACTTTAAATGGAAGTGTTATACCATTTTCTGAAACAGTTCGGAACTTGGGTGTCATATTTGATAACACACTATCTTGGTGTCGTCATGTAGCCGTGACCGAACTTTTGCTGCGGCTGGATCTTTGAGACGTTTACGGAATTTCTTGCCCACTGCCACCAAAATTTCTCTTGCAACTTCTCTTCTCTTTCCTATTCTCGATTATGCAGATATTTGCTATCCCTATCTTACCTTTGATCTTCTAAGTAAACTTGAACGTCTGCAAAAAAAAACCATCAGATTCATTTACGGTTTACTTAAGTACGACCATGTCTCTTACTACAGGCAGAAATTGAAATGGCTTCCCATTCGTCGTCGCCGTGATCTGCATATATTATCCCTACTCTTCTCTGTACTGTCTGTGCTATTTAATTTTGTTTTTTCATTGTTTGATGTTTGCTCTTTCCTATGATTGTCTGCCGTTTTATTGACTCTGCACGTTCTTTCCGGTTGACTGGTAGAGAATGCCATGCTGGCATTAAGTCCGCCATATGCAATGTAAAGGCATTAAAGATTAAATAAATAAATAAATATTGGTTATATATTTTTTTTATTTTATTTTTTTTAAAGCGTGTATCTGCTTGATGTCTAAATAAATACTGTTCAATTCTAAAGCTCCTAAGTCTAGTTTTTAGTTTCTTTCTTCTACTCATAATCTTTCACTTCGTTCATCTGACAATCTCCTGATTTTCACACCTCCTAACTTTTCGAAAGCGTATAGCCACTCCTTTACCATACGTGCCATCCAACTATGGAATTCTCTGCCGGAAAAGATTAGGCGTGCCCAATCACAAGCCTGTTTCAAATCCTTAGTTAAGGAGCACTTCTTGTCTAGGCTCCGCTCTAGTACCAACAGCCTCCTGAGAGTTTTTAATGACCGGTGCACACTTCTGCTACACACTGGGTTAATCTCCATATCCTGTAATAATATTTTATGTAATTCTCTATTATACTTACCTATTTATAAGTAAATTAAATGTAAAGAAAAGTTTTACTAGAAAAAAATCCACGCGGGCGAGGCAGCGTACGGAACTCGAACTTCGCAATCCGGACGAATGCACTGACCAATTATACTACCACGGCCCTGATGGCCGCGTCGAAATTTTCCTAGCGTTAAGCTGCAAGTCAGCGCAAGTTTTTTCTAGTAAAACTTTTCTTTAGATTGAAACATCTATCAGTTAAATGCTTAAAAATAAAATAAAAACATAAATTAAATGTAACTAACACTATGGAACCTAGTTCTGGACAAAATGATTTGAATTGAATTGAAAAACACCCTAGGCGTACTTGGGGATATTGTCGCGATGAAATTCATGCGGCATTATAAGGTTACTAGCAAACCAGTGAACCAAATGTTCACCAAAACCTGATTTAAATGTATTTAATTACTTGAGAACTTCGGAGATTTTGTGTGGTTTCGTTTGAAATTCGTGATTTCTCGAAAACCGGAAGTGAAATCCGGTTTGTAGTCTTATCAGACTATTCTTAACTTATAACTTGAACATTCTCTTTATCTATTTCTTACGGTTTGGCCGCTGAAACAGCACCACAGACAGACAGACGGACGGACTTGTCTAATAGATAAGAGATGTTTTTCAATAATTTGGCAATCTCCATTCTTTTATCCACTAGGTGAAGCACCAAGTAGCTTACCTAGGCTTAGTGGAGAATGTTCGAGTTCGTCGTGCCGGGTTCGCGTGCCGCGTGAGGTACGACCGCTTCCTCAAGCGGTACAAGATGCTGTCGCAATATACGTGGCCTAACTTCCGCGCTGGGACCGACAGAGATGCGGCCCTTGTATTGGCTAGAGACCTGAGATTACAAGACATACATTATGGACACACTAAGCTGTTCATCAGGTGAGTTAACAAACACACTATAAACACACTAAACTATTGATAGTGACTTTTTTGGACTCGCTAACCACGCCATTGAGCTCCTTTCATGAACTTTAATTTACCATACAGAGTCAGCCTCTACGAATACCGTGGTTTATTAATTTAACATTAAGTCGACACTTTGTAGTGACCTTAAATAGACTTCGTTCTGGACATTATCCATGTAACAAGTTTGGATATCTTATGAAAAAAAAAAATTGAGTCTCCCAACTGTGAAGTATGCTGTGTTGTAGATGATCTCCAGCACTTGTTGATGGATTGTGTCCGGTACCAGAATGAGAGACAAGAGTTTGTTAACAAATGTAAATTGAATGTCAGACATTGGTGTGTTTCACAGCATTCTGGCCCAACCGGTCTCGGATGAGGCTAGAATCCTGTATCGCTTTATATGTTTACCGTCCGAAAATAACATATTACGTTAATTGGCTTAGATGATTTGTTAATTTATATAAGTACACGATGGGACTGACATGTCTGTAAAGATAAAAGTACTTTAAATAAAGAGAAAAAAAAAAACTAATTTTTTGACGACCTCAGTGGCCGAGTGTTTTGTACGCCGGGTTTCATGGTGTCGCCGACTCGAGAGGCCCCGGGTTCCAGCATTTGTACTCCATTCATGGATGTTTAATATGTATTTCTATAAAAATATACTTATACTAGCTGTCCCAGCGAACTTCGTACCGCCATAAAAAATAGAGGTTGGTGGTAGGGAAGGGCGAAAATTTTGGGTTATATTTATTTTTGTATGATGTATCATAAAAAAATAAAAAAAAAATTAGGGCTGGATTACCCTTAACATTTAGGAGGATGAAAAATAGATGTTGTCCGATTCTCAGACCTACTGAATATGCATATAAAATTTCACGAAAATCGGTCGAGCCGTTTCGGAGGAGTTTAACCACAAACACCGCGACACGAGAATTTTATATATTAGATGTGTACTGTATATGTATTCTATCCGTTACCCCAGTATCCCATAACACAAGCCTTATAGTGCTGACTTTGGGGCTACGCTAATTGGTGTGAGTGTTGGAAATATTTATATTTATTTATTTTATTTACCACCAGGTCGGCGAAGACGCTGCACAGTTTGGAAGCGGCTCGCGCTGAACTCATCCCGTCCATAGTGATCTTACTGCAGAAGCTGTGGCGAGGGACCATCGCCCGCATGAGATATAGGAAGATGAAGGCGGCTCTCACCATATACAACGCCTGGAAGTACGTATTTATTTAGTTAGTTTAACATTTCAATGCCCTTACGCACTGGATTTTATATGTAAAAGTGGCAGCAAAATTACTACACATATTTCAAAGTTTATCCATTTTTTTTAGTTGTACAGATCAAAGTTTTTGAGGTATATTGGAATCATTGGATTTGAACAGTCATTTACTTAATATTGAGGTAAATGTTTATAGACCAAACAGTGCCCAAAGCTTATAACAGTTATAGTAACAAAGAGAGTCTTTAGTCAGATTTGCACGTGTATCCATCTAATGATAATTTTTTTTTGCCTTAAATACATCAAATAACACAAACAGAGATTTTCATAAACACTATTTTTCTGGTTATTTCATCAATATACAATTTAGTTTTCTCTTTAAACTGTTACAAATAACAAATAATATAGATAGATCAATTACAAAGATCTAAATCAGATTACTCAGTGTTATAAACGTCGGTGGAACGACACATATAAGAATAGGCTAGTTGACTCATGTCAAATTGCACTATACAAATGTTTATTTCTTATAATTTTTGGTATGAGGAACCTAAATACATCGATTTCACTTCATAAAATTAGAAGATGGCTGTAGTAATTTAATTTCAAAAATAGTTTTTTAGTCTATGCTTTTTAAACACTAAAAACGCTGTCCACCATGATTGTGACGTCAACATAATAGCAAAACAACTAAACGTCATTGTCATGTTACTGTGTTTTCTTTCGTCCGACTAAAATATATCTAAAAACTCTTATATCTTGAAGAAAAGTTTCCGTTTATTGGTTTTCTTAAGTAAATTAATGCTGGACGCCGGATTTGTGAAAGCAGTAACGACAAAACTCTTTGACTTAGCAGGTACATTATTAACCTTAAAAATTTAAACCACAACATTTCTTGAGTTTTTAACGATGTGTTTCTTTATTCTCGTATAATACAATCATGATAATTACTATATTTATCATGAAATCTATTAGAAATCGTGGTTTTGTAATGTAAATTCAGATAGGTTATATCCTACGTGCTTGCGAGTGTTTGTTTACTAATAGTTCCCGTCATACCATAAATAATCTATAGACTAAAATGGCCGACAGCGTTTTTGTATGTCCATGAAAAATCTATTTTAAAATTAAAGTTTTGTAGCTTTCTAGGTAAAAAAAATTACAATACATTTTTTTCGGTCTAATTGAACAATTATTAACCATTTAAAACATATTTCCAAAAAGTGTCAACTAGCCTATTATCGCAGTGAAACTTTTTTACGCACGCTTGACTTAGGGAGTAAGCTGGCGAACGCGTTACGAAAAGAGTGATCGGGCGAGGCGAACGGGAGTTGATTGGGGGATATAAGCAAGAGAAAGCAGTGCGCGCGCACATTTTCTTTCTCTCTTTCTCTTATAGCTAGTAAATGAAATATGTATATGTACATGTATATATATATATATACGTACATACAGATGGAGCTAAAGAAGTTTCACTTCAGTCATGTGGTCATAAGCACACTCGTTTTTTTTACCCGACTGTGCAATGCAAGAGCGCGAAGCGCGACGCGCGGACAGGGTATATTGTTTAACAGTCTATATATGTATGTTTGTCCCTTCTTGGCACACTAGAGACCAAACGCCTGGACCGATTTTGATGATTCATACATCATTATATTTTAGTAATATCACACGACTTATCAAAATATGACATAACCGCGTTCCATTGTCAACCAGACGCTATCGCTACCGTCGTTACATCGCGGAACTCCAAGCGGAATTGGATCGCAATCGCGGTCTGATCCGAACATGGCCGCCCGCGCCGCGACGAGTGCCCGCCGCATTATTACACGCGGCATATCGTCGCTGGCGAGCATATTTGGTACTGAAGCCTGTGCCGAGGGCACAATGGCCTCAGTTGCGTATGAAGATATGCGCGGCCAGTGCATTGAAGGGCAGAAGAAAGGACTGGGGCGCAGCTGCTGTCTGGTTGGGCGACTATCTGGCCGATGATAACTACAACCCCAAATCTGGTGAGTGAAAAAAGAATACAGGCCTCGAACTTACGGCATGTTAGGTTCTCAAAATACGCTACGTTAGTCGAAACGACGTAAGTCGAGACATCCCCACTGACGCCGGCCCTACGGACATTGACCTTGCGACAAGTGAATTCTCCTATGCCGGAAATCGAAACAATTGACGTATGCTTGAGGAATAGTGTCAAAACATTATTCGACGTAACTTGAAACGACTTAAATCGTAACGACGCAATTCGAGGACTGCCTGTATTACAAAAAAATCGACTAGTGTTTTTAGGTGACATTGAACAACTAAAATCCCAAGACTGATGTTAACAAATAGGCCGTAGGAATGTATGGACAAATTTTCGGCGATGTTTTTAGGTATAAGGCTAGAACTACTAGATTTGATCGTGACAAAACTTATTTGTTTTTTAGGTTTTCACGCACCACTCATTAAATAAAACAAGTTTCAACGGTATAGATGCATTGATTTATTTATTTGTTGCTGTTAATCGATTGATTGATTTATGATTGATCTATACCGTTGAAACTTGTTTTATTTGGTGACAAAACTTGATAAGTGACTAGTAGAAAACCTATGCAGTATTTAGTTCATCATCATCATCAGCCTGTTTATGTCCCCACTGCTGGGGCACAGGCCTTGCCTATGGATGGAATAGGGAGATTGGCCCATGTTCCACCACGCGGGCCCAGTGCGGATTGGTGGGTGCTAACGACTGCAGATGCAGCCACGACCAACGGCTTAACGTGCCTTCCGAAGCACGGAGGAACTCGAGATAGTTAACTTTTGGTCACCCATCCAATGACCGACCACTGCGGAAGTTGCTTAACTTCAGCGATCGCAGCCGAACGCGCTAACCACCTGCGCCATCGAGCTCCTCAGTATTCCGATTAGTATTTAGTTAACGTTGAATAATTTGAAACTACTGTATGGGCAGTTGACGCAACGAAGCTGAGGACCTTTCTATTGCTGGCGAGCGTGTCTTTTGCCTAAACCGGAGCTTTCATAATAGGAACGAAAAACGCGCGTAAAATGTAGGTTTTAAATCTGTGTGTATTTATGTTCGTCTCGGCTGCATTTGCAGACGTTTGCATCCACCCAATGGTGGGGCATAACCTTGCTCTTTAAGCCATGTATAGGAAAAGTTTATGCTTCAGCAGTGGAGATGTTCATAGGCTGATAATGACGATATTAAGGCCTTATGAATCATCATAAGGCGGGTCCTCATAAGGTTGGGCGGATGCAGACGACTGCAAATGCAGCCGAGAGAATATCAATTCTAGATAATTGATCGAACGAAATTTAAACAGAATACCCTTATTTGCAATGTCATCGTCATCATCAGCCTATTAATGTCCCCACTGCTGGGGCACAGGCCTTCCTTATGGAGATTGGACCATGACATGTCCCACTACGCGGGCCCAGTGCGGATTAATGGGTGATATCGACTGAAGATGCAGCCGGGATCAACGGCTTCACGTACCTTCCAAAGCACGGAGAAGGTCGAGATAGAAAATTTTTGGTCACCTATCCAATGACCGACCATTACGAAAGTTGCTTAACTTCCACGAGCTCAGGTCGGACGCGCTAACCATCTACGCCATCGAACTCCTCGTGAATACGAACATTATTAACGACTACCTCCGTGGCCGAGTGGTATATACGCCGGATTTCATGTCGCCTACACAGAAGTCCCGGGTTCGAATCCCAGTGGGTGGAAATGTTAGTATGATGAATATAAGTATTTGTACTTTAGCCATGGAAGTTTATGTATATTTCAAGATAAAATATATTTATATATTGACACTGTCACTTATGCAAAAACAATTTTTTTTTCAGGATTATCGTTTAAAACTTTGACATTCCAAAACATACAATATTTAAAGATTTTTACGTGATGAAAATCTGATAATGCTTAGCTATTCATCTAAAAAAAATTGTTTTGGGATGTTAAAGTTTTAAACGCTTCTCCTGAAAAATTGATTTTTTGCATAAGTGACAGCGCGAATTATGTATCAGTATATGTTTTCTATCCGTTACCCTAGCATCCCATAACACAAGCCTTACAGTGCTTACTTTGGTAGGCTAATTGGTGTGTGTGTGGCAATATTTATTTATTTTTATTTTATTTTTTATTAATACATAAATACATTCTGTCCAGCTCTATACAAGTCTGCGATGGTGACCCTCCAGAAGTCGCAGCAGATCGGCAAGCCTCTGTTCTCGTGCCGCGTGTACAAGTTCAACCGGCACAACAAGATGGCGGAACGTTGTTTACTCGTCACCGACTCGCTTGTATGCAAGCTGGACGCCAACACCTTCAAACCGTTGAAGAAACCCACGCCAATCGCTGAGGTTAGTAACGTTGGCTGAATGATTACTATTTAAGTTCATGCATGTGAGATGATGTGGCGTACTAAATCTATGTAAGATGTAGATCTAAGGTCTGCTTAAGGCAATTTTTCTAAATCGCAATTTACCTTAACACAGAACAACTTAACTAAAAATGTATAGTGTCAAATTGGCATTGACGCTTTGACATTTTTCTATGGGTTGGAATTAGTAAAGTTGCTGCAAATATGCAACAATATGATTTTTACTTCTTATTTCTCGCAAAGGTGAAAAATCTTTATTAAAAGCTCTATATTCTCGAAACATGCTAATACAAGCTCCCTTTTTCGTGTGACTAAGGCCCGTATTATAGAAAGACTAGCAAACCAGTGAACCAAATGTTCACCAAAACCTGATTTCTCGAAAACCGGAAGTGCTACGTTACTCAAATCCGGTTTGTAGTCTTAACAGACTATTCTTAACTTATAACTTAAACATTCTCTGAAACAGCACCACAGACAGACGGACGGACGGACTTGTCTAATAGATAAGAGATTCTCAGTGATTGATCTAGTCTTGAGCATAGTTAGAAAGGGATGTCGCTATATACAGCACATAGCGACATCCCTTTCTAGCTGTACTCAAGTAAAGATCAACACTTAGTTGACATTCTGTAATATGGGCCTTTGTCTGTGATTTTCCATTTCAAAGCGCTCTGCTACATTCAAATCCGTTTAAAGTTTTTCAGAAGCGATTCTTTTGCTGCGTACGGTTGCAGAATTCCTTAGCTACATTCTAACTAGAGAAAACAGTCTCTCATTTCAATCCCCACAGAGCATGATAAGAGGAGACTGTTGTTAAGTTTACAAAAAGCAAAGCGGGTTCGAGTCTCGTCTGCGTCCTGGATTGCGTGGATTTTTCCTAGTAATATTTTCTTTAGATTAAAGCATCGAACAGTTACATGCTTAATAATAAAAATTATAACTATAATTGCTATTTCTTCTTTCAAATGTTAATTACTTGTAAAGGTATTATTTGACATTGTGGGTTACCTACAATGCGAAGAAATGGCGCTGCCTTGCAGCTTAAAAAAGGCTGGAAAAAATTCAACATCGCTATTAGAGCCGCGGTAGCATAATGGTCAGTGCATTCGTCCGAATAGCGAAGGGTGCGGGTTCGAGTCTGCCTGCAGATGCTGCCTAGTTCGCGAGGATAAACATCGAGCAAGCGAAAATTTATATATAATAATAATCTATATCTTTATTTGTTCTTCCACAATCTACAAATTACATTACAACTTATTATACTATAATTTTATACTAGAATAATAAAATAGATTGTGAGCGACTGGTGCCTGAACTAGGCAAAAAGCCTGTATCTCAGAGCACCAGGTCTCTCCCTTCCCTGGAGAATGCACATTGAACAAATTATAGGGCATAATAGCAAAGCCGTTTGAAATGCTATCTCTAGGTGATTGTTTGTGTAGATCGGTGCAGTCCGCGTGATGAGCAACGACGCCCAACTAGTGGTGATCAGCGTGCCCGCCGCCAACAACGACCTGGTGCTGGGGCTGCGGCCCCCGGCCCCGCCCCGGGACCTCTGCGGGGAACTGGTGGCTGCGCTGGCTCTGAGGCACCGCGCGTACGTATACAACTAGTGGTGATCAGCGGGCCCGCCGCCAACAACGACCTGGTGCTGGGGCTGCGGCCCCCGGCCCCGCCCCGGGACCTCTGCGGGGAACTGGTGGCTGCGCTGGCTCTGAGGCACCGCGCGTACGTATACAACTAGTGGTGATCAGCGTGCCCGCCGCCAACAACGACCTGGTGCTGGGGCTGCGGCCCCCGGCCCCGCCCCGGGACCTCTGCGGGGAACTGGTGGCTGCGCTGGCTCTAAGGCACCGCGCGTACGTATACAACTAGTGGTGATCAGCGGGCCCGCCGCCAACAACGACCTGGTGCTGGGGCTGCGGCCCCCGGCCCCGCCCCGGGACCTCTGCGGGGAACTGGTGGCTGCGCTGGCTCTGAGGCACCGCGCGTACGTATACAAACTATCTCCTTGGCCATATGCTTGTTTGACAAACTTTTCTTTTGAAGTGAAACTTCTTTACGCACGCTTGACTTGGGGGTGTAAGCTGGTGAATGCGTTACGCGTTACGAAAAGAGTGTTCGGGCGAGACGAAAGGGAGTTGAGTGGGGGATATAAGCTAGAGAGAGCAGTGCGTGCGTACATTTTCTTTCTCTTACAGCTAGTTAATGAAATATGTTTATGTATATACATGTATACAGAGTGTAAAAATTCCTTTAACGAAGTCGAAGGCCACGTATTCTCCGCATCATGACGATCATTTTTTTCTTCTGGACCAAACCTGGGAAATTAATTGTTATGGAGATATTGAAGGTCAAAGTCATAATTTATTCAAAATTTTTGCATAAAGTAATATTTTCAAAATGTTCTTGAGAAACTTTTTTATCGACGCACTTACACACACGCACACACATACACACAGGCACATTCTTTGCGTAGCGCCACAGTATCGCGCCGTGCTATACATTGCCTACTGTAAAAGATGTATTTTTTTATTTAAAAATAAAAATGATTCCCATGTATATTATTTTGTAATATGACTTGTTTGGGCGTAGTTTAAGTCTTTCTCATAGGATTTTTAACACCCTGTATATTGTACACACACATATACATACAGATGGAGCTAAAGAAGTTTCTCTTTAGTCGTGTGGTCATAAGCACACTCGTTTCTTTTATTTGTACTTCTATCTAATTATCTTATCTCTTTCGAACAGGTTAAAAGGCGTAGACCTCCTGGTAGAAGTGGAAAGTGGAGCTACCACCAGATGCACTCTAGGCGGCAGACGTCGCGCCCTACAGCTTCCCTCCTCCCCCTCCACCCCAACCCCCGGGCCAGGCCCCGAGCCAGCCTTCACACACGCCAGCAACGTCATCATTTACCACCCGGCTTCTGCGAGGGCGTAACGTGCCCCCCTATACCCCCTTATTAATAAAATAAACAAGGAATAAACTTAGACTAGTTACGCCGTGTTTTGTTCATGTCATTCAATAGACGGAGACAATACATAAAGTAACTAATCCAAGCGTAGTCTTCATTTCTAAATATTGGGGATACAGTGTAATGTTCCCTGAACGATATATAAAATAAGAAAAGGATCGGATTAAAAAGAAATGTTGTCGTGAATGCGAGCACTGCGTGAGATTAAATAGTTATTCTAAGTGCAAAAAATGATTTTCGAAGTGAAACTTCTTTTAATACGGGGTGTAAATGGAGAAATCCTATAGAAAAGATGAAACGGAAATGCGTCATGAGCCTCACACGACTATATCTATGTGTATGTGTGTGTGTGGAATGCGTGCGCAGCTATTCCCGACGAGTAACTCGGCGAAGGCTGAAACGCTACGAGCGGCACACGTGACAATATATTTATTTACTAGTGGCCACCCTCGCTTCGCTTCGGGGTAGAATTAATCAAAATCCTTTCTTTGCGGATGCCTACGTCATAAAACCTACCTGCATGCCAAATTTCAGCCCGATCCGTCCAGTGGTTAGGGCTGTGCGTTGATAGATCACTATGTCAGTCGGTCACCTTTGAGTTTTATATATATAGATTTATTTATGATCAGACTACAAAGGCCCATATATAAATACCTAATACTCTAACATATATACAGATATAAAACATTGTCTTAATAAATAAAATTAGTAACTATGATAGTAAACACCTAATTAAAACGTATAGACGGCGACATGTGGCGTATATTAGATAACCGACGAAATTGAGGCAAAGGTGTCGATTCTGGAACGATTCTCTAAATCTAAACTTAAATTTGACAACAGTGTATCCTTGTCATTCTCTATACAGAATGAAAGGGAGAGACTGATGTTAAATTTAGTTTTAAGTTTAGAGAATCACGCCAGAATCTATACCACTACATATATATGTGTCATGCGTGCGCTGCTCCATTCCCCTATGCCTTATGCACCGCCTTATGGTAGGTTTTTCAAGAAAAGAAGTTATACTTCAGATGTGTGGTCCGTGCACACTATTTTTTTTTAATAACTCAATTGGATTTTTCAGTGGGTATATACAAAAAGTTTTCAATTATACGTACAGTTCTAACTTTTGCCATATTTCTATCACAAAGGATTGCTTAGGATAAATGGCAATAATATCCACTATTACTTAAAGTTAAAGTTAGAAAAAATACTTATAATACACTACAAAACAAACCGACCCACCTCACGCAGTTAATAAGTTAATAGTCCTTTTGAATAACCAATCATAGGGAATATTCATTAACTTCAATATTAGAAAAAAATTATGAGCTTTTGCAGAATGAGAACTTTCCAAACAAACGTATTGGAAATCATTCAATACGTATAAAAAATAAACATTGGGAAAGAAGCGGAATATAAAATCAGAGTAATTTTAAAAGTCTTATTGATTTAAAAACACGATCGCCTATTCTACAGTGATAATAGTGCCTTTCACATACGTTATGTTGATTGGCTTATAAAAATACTTAGAGTTAGAAAAAGCATGCTGTACTCTTCAGATTTTTAAAGAGCGACAGAGATATCTATTATTTACTTTAGAATTCATGTGAATAACACCAATAATAATTAACGCATTTTAAAAATAATACTAATGTAAGAATGAGGTAGAGTCTGTGCGGAAAGAGAATGGGCGTGGCGAAAACAGGAACTAACATTAAGATTTTTATATGGCAATCAAACCCAGCAATCTGTAAAACATCAAAGTTTTGTATTGATACGGATTTGTTTGTTGTTGTCATTTCTTGCGGTTTTTTATATTTAATCATGTCTAAAAGGGGTAAAACCTTACAAATACGGTAGAAAAGCACTACAGCGCCCTCCAATCTAAATCCCATTCTCTTTCCGTACAGACTCTAGCAGCAAACATCTTGAGCTATACCACAGACCAATAAACTTGCGCATTAGACGTTTTTATATGTGAATATGCTCCTGCGCAGGCTTCCTTCTCTATGGTCGTTTCTCAAGAAGTTAGCAAGGGTGTATAATTATTCTTTACATTTAAAAATATAACATTTTTGTGTAATAACTTTTAACTGGCGATTTTATTTGTTATTGTGATTACAAGCATACTTATTAGTGGTAACTTATTTGATAGCGATCACGTTAATCGCATTGTGTAATAATTAATTAGGTTAAATTGTTAATTCATTGTTAAGAATTCCTTTGCGGTTTGTATGGTGCTAACCGTATAAGTTTGCAGCCTGTGCTGATTGATGGCTGTTCAAATCTTGTTGTCTAATAATTTGATACCAATCAATGAATTAATGTGCATTAAATACGTATTTCAAGCTTGAGGAAGGAAAAATTACCATAAACACAAATAGGCACACTATTTGTGTTTATGGTAATTTTCGATTGAAACAGTTGATTCATGACCCATGTGCTGGAAACTTCGCTAAAAAATTTCAAAACAAACAAGTCTTTCTTTCTAGAGAAAGCGTTATTGTGTCACAGGAAGGCGGCAAAATCTGTCACGTCAAATATGATTGATTAGAAAATAACAAGTTTGTTTCCAGGGACACGTAAGTTTAAGCAAAAATCTACCTTATTGCCTTGAAATGGTTGTAGCAAAATCAGTGGGTTAGGAATCAAATTGGCTGATTGTACTTACATAGGTGGACTCAGATATAATATTATAATTATAACGTCTTTATTACGTAACAATAAGAACGATATTCGTAGAGCAAGCGTATCCATTGACGTTGTCGTGACCGTATGAGAATTTGGTTGGAACAATTTGCATCGAATTAATTATCTCGACATGGTTTGTGAGGCCGAGCACTTCTATGAAGTTTCCATTTTCAAGATTGCATTAGTTGTTGTAAAACAAATTGACATTATCGGAAAATATTTAAATTAGTACGTCCACCGTTCACACAACGGGCAATATACAAATCATGATATACAGCCTGGTGATTCACGACGGACGGAGTCTTAGTAATAGGGTCCCGTTTCTACCCTTTGGGTACGGAACCCTAAATATGATGTGCTGTGAACTTATATTGTTTTAGTGTTGTACATAAAGGATTTTTGTTAATTTTCTTACGATATAATTATGAGATTTTATTTTTTTATGCTAATTCCTAATGCGGCGGAGCCGTTTTGCGTGAATTTATAACGCAATAATTTTGGTAAATAATAATAATAAACAATATTGAATTGTGTTATTTAAATTAATAAAATATTTAAATGAATTTAATAATTTTACATTAGTAATTTAATAATAAATCGATACCGTTTTACTGGGTAGTAAAATTGTTGAAAAATAATTTATGTTTTTAATGGTTTAAACATACAACGGAAATATCGCACAACTTAATTAAAATACGTCTGCGTATCCGATCACTTTATCAAAAAGAAAGCATGTTTGTATTCATCCAAGTGAAATATTATAGTGATATCTTTTCCATGATATCAAAATGGACTTAATTTGCAAAGGACCTCTGAAATTAATTTCTTTATTAAAATATCATAATAATAGAAAGATTAAATACTGTCTGTATGATTTTCATTGTTTTTTTTTGTTTTATGTTTTTGTTCCTATAACAGGAGGCAAAGGCAAAACTTCACACAGCCAAATTTTCAGTATTTTGTATTTTACTCTGTGAACCACAGACCTGAAATATACCAATGCTTGTGTGGAATATTTCGTACTAGATAAATATGAATTCTGCCTATTCGTGAAGTATTTTTATACGTAATAATTAATTATACATTTAATATGTAGGTATATGCTTATGTTTCTTTAAACAAGTTTTCATAACATCCATTTTACATCACAATATCACTAGACGAACAAAAATAAGTTTCTATATATTATTATGAATTGAATTTTAGTGTGTCATTGCAATTGAGTCCACATATTTAATTACATATTGTGATTTACATCGTACAAATCTATAAATGATTGCGTTATGGTTAATTTATTGTATAATGTTAGGTCAGTATTATGTAAGTATCGTTTCGACAACGAAATAATTATATTTGTAAACGTAGGCGGGTAAAAATCGCTGTAAATAGTAATATTTACAACGATTTTTACCATTTTATTTAAATACCTGCAGTATCCACGGCTGGAACGTAGGCAATTTGAAAGTAATTTGTAATAGAGAAGTATTCGAAGATGTTTTTTTTTGGAAAACAGTTGAAGAGTTGGCGAACAAAAAGGTATAATTACATAAAATTTAATTTTACTGGAGCTGAATAAAACTGAATGACGTACCTTCATCATCATCATCATGATCAGACTACTAATGACCCACTGCTGGGGCACAGGTCTTCCCTATAGATGGTATAAGGACCACGCGGGCCCAGTGTGGATTGGCGGGTGCAACACGGAGGAACTCGAGATAGAAGATTTTTGGTCACCCATCCAATGACCGACCACTGCGAAAGTTGCTTAACTTCAACGATCGCAGCCGAACGCGCTAACCACCTGCGCCATCGCGCTCCTCGACAGACATACCATACCTATATTGAGCTTTTGGAATGGTTTTTTTATTTATAAATTAACACATAAATTAAAATGTTTAACACTGTTTTAGACGTTTTTGATTGAAAATTATTTGAGATTCAAATTCAACTAGTCCAAAATCTCCGGACTGTAAAAAAAAGCTAGTTTGACCAGATGCGAAATTATACCGTTTTGTTTGCCAGCTCCTCGGTCATGAAAATAAAATGGGTTAAACTATTAAAGCAAATATGCTACCGTAACATAACAGGTTATTTAAAGCGCTTCTTTGTATTTTAGTAGGTATATAGTACGATGTTCTATAAAAGTTTACATTTTAACAGAAACCAACCTTCGCTGATGTTTATTAAGGTTCTATTTACATTAATATATACGATTATATTTCAATATGAATTCCCACCCGTACGAGTAAAAACTCATTAAATGAACATTTCAGTTTTCATACTTTCAGTAAAAGTGCTTATTGAAACGGTGATAATATTAATTTTACAAAAAATAATTTATTTAATTTTTAATAAACGCAGGATTTATTTTTGTGTAAGTTATCTACTTTCTAAATAACACTTGTCGGTTTTAATAAGTTGGCTATGAGGAATAATAGTGAATTGGTTATGCGAGTCGAAATTCTAGTCATGAACAATTGAATTGTAAATTGTTCTGAATGAAAACTTTTTAACAGAACATGATGAAAATAGTTAACTTTGACTTTGTATGAATAAAAAATAGAACAAATAACCAATTGTCCTCCCCATTGTTACTGTAAATGATAAAGTAGATGTGATTTTAACGGTCGTGCCTTGCTGCGGTGCCATGAGACTTGTAAACTATTGATTAAAATATTTTTTCATTATATTTCATGTTTTTTATTTGACAATCTACCGCGTAGGTATGAATGTGCCTTAATGTTTTCAAAGTTGTGTGCTTGAAATCTAAACTCGAGGGATTTTTAAATTTCCCTCGTAATAAATGATAAGATAAAGATACCGATAATGTCGAGTGGTTTGTACGCCGGGTTTCATGGTGTCGCCGACTCGAGAGGTCCCGGGTTCGAATCCCGGTGGGGGCAGATATTTGTGTGATGAATATGAGCATTTGTACTCATGTCATGGATGTTTAATATGTATTTCTATATAAATATACTTATATATGTACTGTGTATGTATTCTATCCGTTACCCTAGTATCCCATAACACAAGCCTTACAGTTCTTACTTTTTGGGGCTAGGCTAATTGGTGTGAGTGTTGGAAATATTTATTTATTTATATTTAATGTAGAAAAACTTCTAAAACTATGTCCAAGTAACCCCTGTTTACGGTACCTTTAATGGTTCCTGCTAGGGGTACAGTACCCTTAGCACGAACCAATATCGAATTCGTATCGTTTGCGAGTCCGAAATGTCATTGTCAAATATGTACTGATTTTTGAAGTTATACTTCTTTAGGCGCGTTATGAAAAAATGATGAGAGTGAAATTTTAAGATGCGCGCGCATCACTGTAATACAAAATTTTAACAGCATGAAGTTGGTCGCATAATCGCTTTAGCGACCAACTTCATGCGTTACTTTTGTGTTTACCGCACATTAAGAAAATCTACCAACAAATTAGAAATAGAATCTCTATTTAGTGGGTGCTAACGACTGCATTGTGAAGGCCTATCAAAAGTATTTATTAATCTGGAACAACGGAACCAAAGCGCGATTCAGGAGACTACAGCGCCATCTCTTGACCATTGGTGTAGTAGAACCAAAAACCATATCTTTATTTTTTGTAATAAAGTAACAGTATACGTACATATTTATAATATTTATCCACATGTTTCTAGTTTGTATATTCGGAATACGTGTTTGAGTTTCATACAAATGCAAATCACATATGTTCTAATAAATTATATTCAGTAGCGATTTTAATTGAATATTTTGATTATTTATTTATTTTTTCAAATTAAAACTGAACTTTATTGACTGTGTCCTTTTCCAGACTTTTTATTAATTTATTGTAATTAATTATTTGCATGCAATTAAAAACTAATTTTAAACGATGCCAAAGAAGGATAACTTCTCACGCGCCTACATAAGTACACGCACCCATTTTTTTAGTTCTCGTTACGTACTTTGTGCCGCTGCTGTTCAAGTTTCCATACAAAATTTGACATTGACATTTTGGTTTGCATACTATTCGAATTCGATAATGATTCGTGCTAGGGGTACAGATGATGCAACAGAAAAAAGTGCAGTTCCAGAAATCTCCACCACGCCTTAACCCAATTCATACTCCCGGCCTCATGAAGCTAGGAACCTTACTAATGGCGCGATTACACTTACTCGTTAGCCCGAATACGAGTGCCAATGGAATTCGGGTAAACGAATGAACGGAGTCGAGTACGCCCGTATTCGGGCTTAGATTAAAACAAAAAGGGAAGATACGGCATTCGCGGCTCAAAAGTGATCCGCTTAAATTGTGGTCCACGACCATAATTTGCTTTAGTCACAATTTGACATTCAAACGCGGAGCATGTACACTCAATATAACAATGTTGCGTATATTCTGTGTTATGAAGATATCACAATGCCTTCGATGCTTTTATAAAGAACACAAATAGTTCAAAATCAAATGCCCCGGCAACACTTTTCATTCGTAAAACTGTGAATACATTTTTTTCTCAAAAATCACGGTTTGTCGTGAATATTATTAACGTAATCGCCTTTTTGTAAGCAAGAAAAGGACAACAATACGCTGAGTTGAAGCGTATAGCTCTGTCTCGCTCGATTGATGTTTATATTCAGACGTGTGCGTGGCGAGAGTTGCTTATGAAGTTGAGTCGGATCATATTTTATTTGATGCTAGTATGAGCGTACCGTATCTACCCTTTTGACGTGACAACGTCTTAAATTAGGTTGCGGCTGGGAGTCACTTATGAAAAAGTGTAACGCTCGGTAACGTTACGATGAGTCTCTCGTGTTAAGTTTAAGTTTACATGTACAATGTTTTAGTAAACAAAATATATTTCTATAGTTAAAATTTGTGCAATTCTTATTTTCATTCAATTCCTTGTTCCTATTGTGCAATTTAATTATATTCATATCAATAAATATTCTACCGAGAAAAAGACGTTGTCACGTAAAATCTTCGCCCGTAAAACCGACTTTACAGGCAACCATTTTTTGTTTTTATCTAAGTATTCGGGTAGATTTCCTTTTGTTTAACTGACACCGTCTTGCAGCCCGTCTAGGGACACGATATCGAATAGAAAGTATCGATACTGTACTCATGAGTAGTATCGGTAAAAAAGTATCGTACTCGTAAAAGTATCGAAACAAAAGTATCGATACTTCAAAGTATCGAGTACATTTCATAGGGCCTTATCGGATCCTCTGTGGCCCGATGAGCAACCCCCCCCCCCCCGGGTTAAAAATTGAAAGAAAAACAATCCAATTTTATTATAGTACGTATAATAACAGTAAAAGGACATATAAATTCACAAATTGCTATATTATATAATGAAAAGAAAATAGCTGTGATTTCTGACACTTAAAAAGTGTTCATTAATATCACATTAATAATTAAAATGTTACTTGAATCTGACACGCAGTTAACGACGGCCATTGGCATGCTTCACTCAATATTATAATTATAGAAGAGGTTACGTCCGTCTTTTTTTCAGGTCCGTGGTTTCAAATAGGTATACACAGCACAGACAGAATAATAGTGTTACACTTGACTACATCAAATGCAGTCAAGCGAAAAGCACAATAAACGGCGAATCATCAATCACAATTCCTAACAATATGGTCGCTAAATAAATAACTATGAAACAAAACAAAGCGCAAAATAAACACAGTCACAGATTGGAAAGAATTTGAATATATCATAACAATATGAGGCGCTTGTCCAAATTTTAAAAGTATCGATACTTACTTGCCAAAAAGTACTCAATAAGTAAAAGTATCGAATACAAAGTATCGAGTACAAAAGTATCGGTATCGAAAGGAAAAGTACTCGATACCACAAAGTATCGATACTTTTTTCGTGTCCCTAAGCCCGTCCAGTGTAAATATTGCTTCGGGTGCCCGAATGGGAGTAATGTCTTTCGTGCACCCCAATACGGGCTAGCGACCAAATGTAATTGCATGACAGAAACAAAAACACTGGCCAGTGCTGTCTTTGACCTATTGGAGGCCCTGGGCATATTAAGATAATGGGTCCCATAGGATAAATACTTTAAACGGAATAAAATTCCATTTGTTATTTACTAACGATCTGACTGATATGCGACTCCATAAAGGACAGCTATTTTCATACACCGATGACACTGCACTCTTATTTCATGGTTGTACATGGGAGGAAGCATACTCGAATGCTGAGGTTGCTTTAAAAAGGATAATCAAGTGGCTGCAAAATAATTTTTTAACTCTTAACACCGATAAGACTAACAGTGCCATCTTTGACCTATTGGAGGCTCTGGGCATATTAGGATAATGGGGCCCCTATGACCCCCATTTGGTGATTAAACAGGAGCTAGGGACTTTGTATTTGATCTGAGGGGGGCCCCTATCAATCGCGGGGCCCTTGGGAAAGACGGGTCTGACTATGGCAGTGCTATACGTAAGATCAAACTCACTTTTCACCGCGTATTTCGCCGGGAAAGGCGACTTTGTTCTATACTAACAAAATGACATTGCAGTGCTATTTTTTTTATTATTGTTTTCATTAGGTGGCAGTAAATTTCGCAGGCAAAAAGCCCGTTTACCTGTGTAGATAAAGAAAATTTTATCGGATTTTATTTTTTTAAACCTTCAAACTATAACTAGATACCCACTTCTAAATCTGCCAATAAGCTTTTATGTTATATAAACAACGATATTAAATACCCAACATATGCACAAACACGAACAAAATCATGCCCGAATTCTGTCCAAAAGGTACATTGGATGATCCACGGAGCTCCGTAATCTATACAAAATAAAAAGTATTATTTAAACATTGAAAATCACCTTAAGGCGTTGAGCAGACGACGGGGCGGGGCGGGCATTTTGTCCGCGAAGCAATAAAGCGTCTGCCCGTCGATGTCTGCGGCTGCCCGCGCCGCGTACACAAAGCACACGACGGGCAGAGGCGGTCAGTTCAGGACGTTCGTTCTAGTGAATAGTCCATCACTAAAAAGCGCGCGGCGCGGACTGAGCTGACCGCCCCGCGCCGCCGTCTGCGTTACTGCATATAAACTGGTTTGTATGATCCACGGCGGGCAGCCGCGGAGATGCCACGCCGCCACTGCCCGCGCCGGGCACCTGCGGCGCGGTCTTTTTGCCCTCTGTGTGCGTTTGTAGTATAGGATTCACTTTGTGCTATTATTCGCGGCGAAATTGACCGGTCCGCCCCGCCCCGTCGTCTGCAAAGTGCCTTAAAGCACACTATGTAATGTTCTGATTAAAACGCATGCGTCATAGATTTATGGGAATATTTTCTATTAAATCAGTTTATAGTGAGTATTAAAGCAAAATTTCTTCAAATGCGTTAAATTAACAATAATTGATTACATACCTGTCGAAAAAACATCATTTTACATACTTTTCAACGGTCCGCGCGTGACTGTGAACCAAGAAGTGCTTGAGTCGTGTTCGAGCACTTCTTGATAGGGACACATTTTGAGCGAACATGGTGTATCTAGGGTATTACTATCGTCGAATATAAATTATGTAATGGCGGTATATATTGATAGTAAAAGTTTTAAAGTTTTTTTTATATTTTTTAGTGCATTTATATAAAAGCTTGTTTTAAAAAAAGTTTTTTTATATTTTAGTTAAACTAGAACTTCAAAAACACCATATTCTCAGCTAGTTTCATTTCATTTTATAC